TGGCCTATAGTTCCCTGGTTCTTCATTAAAAACTGCTCCTTGACTCTTAAATCTTTGTACCAGTTGTGTATTTGTATTATGCACACACAAATGCAGTGGAAGTCAACTAATATTTTAATACAACATGCACTTTTTCATCAGCTCCTGGGGTACAATGAAAAGCCAGTAAACCTACAGATGTTCATCGGGACAGCAGATGATCGCTACTTACGGCCTCACGCGTTCTACCAGGTGCACCGGATCACGGGAAAAACAGTTGCAACAGCCAGTCAAGAGATAATCATCGCCAGCACAAAGGTTCTGGAAATACCCCTTCTTCCTGAAAATAACATGTCAGCCAGGTATGTCACAGCGGCACTTAGCTGCTTAGTTGCTGCGTGTCTTCTTTTCTTTTTTTTCATTTGTGCAAAAGTGAAAGAAAAATCTTGTAGAACAGTGTGTGTTCCACAACTGTGGTTCATGATTAAGACAGACACGTCTCTTGAAACATGCCAATGTTTAGACAGAAGTCAGGGAGTAGAGACAGGGGAGGTCACAAGGCTCACGGTGAGATAGGTGAGTGCTTCTGGAATTATACTTCCCCATATAATCCATACATACGACTCCACATTTGTAGAACTGCATGTGGGTTGCTGGCTGGTAGATTTTTTTCTTTGATTTTACAAAGATATAAGTCTTCTTTTCTATGCAAATACATACACTTGTTTGTTTCTTGATTGAATGTGGTGATTTAACTTCTGATATCTTGGTAGTTTTTCTTGGGATTTTTTTTGTTTGTTTGTTTTTTTTTTTATTCTTAGCAGTGATGTGTTATTCTGCCTTCTCAGGTCTTGTCAGAATGTGCTCATTAATAGTTTATTGGCTAGTTATGGCAACAACTGAAACTGCTCCGTTCTAGCTGGAGGGTCACCAAATGGCAGAAAGCACAATTTTATATGTAGCACATTTGTTTCTTATGTGGACTTCTGAAGTCAGCATAAACTTTCTAGCTGCATGCTTCTTGCTAGTTCCATAGAATGCTACGACCCCACGATGACCACGTGCAAGGTAACACTCCTCACAAGCTTACGTGTATGTGTTACTTGATGCAAGTACGTGTGTCTCATATGAATAATCAATAACTATGTGGAAGGGTAGCTGGGATTTGATAGCTCCACTTTAGGAAGGACTAAAGAATGACTAAAGGCAGAACTAAATATCCTTGTAAACAATGTTGAGTTAAATAACTCACTTGGAAGGTTAAACAATGTGCAGTCACTTGGAATCATAAAGGTTCAAACAAGCAGCAGCTAGACAGTTACAGGACAAAATGTTTCAACAGAGTACTTGCTGCCATTTTTGACACTAACAGATCTTTTCATCTCAGACGTTTAAAATAGTGTAACATGGGGAAAACCAGAATGCTCTTCATTCATTAACAAAGGAAAGGCTTACAGAGTATACTTTGGCAATAGTTTGATTCATTTTCTTCCATTTCTCTTCTTATCCATCCATCCTCACCTGTCTCCAGCATCGATTGTGCTGGTATTTTGAAACTTCGCAATTCAGATATAGAGCTCCGTAAAGGAGAGACAGATATTGGAAGAAAGAACACCAGAGTGCGACTTGTGTTTCGTGTTCACATCCCACAGCCTAGTGGAAAAGTCTTATCTCTGCAGACTGCTTCCATACCTGTTGAATGCTGTAAGATTGCTTTAACTATACATAATTTATACTCATGTTTTCTGCATGTGTCAGTAGTATTGTCATTCTGTCAATATTGATTGTCAGAATTATCTATAACAAATGTGTGTAAAAAGCATTGTGTGTAAAGCTGTAAATTACAGAAAATTAATATAGCTTTATTTAAAGATGATACTTGCCAAGTGGCAGCCTGAAGGTTTGAAAGGAAAACAACGTTTTAGGTTTTAAAGCTAATACTGCAGTCACACAGCCTCAATAGTGCCTGTATATGAGTAGAGAGAGCTGATACATCTCAGCGAAAATAAATATTAATTCAGGGAGAGCTAATACCATTTCATTTACAAGAGTCTATACAGTATTCTGTAACGAAGACAAGTAAACAGCTGAACTGCTAGAGAGGTCATTAAGTGCTGGCACTAAGCTATTAAAACATGACCTTAAACAATCTGAATTTCTCCTAGAATCATTTGGTCTACAAAATACCAAAGTAATTTTTAAACCAATATTTGTAAACTAAAAATTTCATTTGCTGTAATGGTAGAGACTGTTTGGATTCATGGCTTCCTGGTGTTTCTTTTCTAAAATTGCAGAATTTTAACATAATTTTGAAAACAAAAATATATAGGTCATATTTATGTATGGTTTATGTAAATGGATGGTTGTTTGAGTTTCACTTTTGATTCTTAAAGTTAAGGTCATAAAACAAAGGTCACTGTCATCAAAATTGTGAATAGTAATTCCCCTTCCTTGTTTTTTTTTTTTTTTAAAGCTCAGCGATCTGCTCAGGAACTTCCTCAGATTGAGAAGTACAGCATCAACAGTTGCTCAGTAAATGGAGGCCATGAAATGGTGGTGACAGGATCCAATTTTCTTCCAGAATCCAAAATAATATTTTTTGAAAAAGGACAAGGTAAGTACTGTCCTTCTTTTTTTTTTTTCTTGAGATCAAAACCAGAAACACCTGAGCTTGATTTTAGGAACTAAGGATGTTTTAAAAAGAAAAAATTCAGTCACAAGTAGTAATTTGAAACTTCATTTTGGGCACTGATCTGTATGCTGGTTGGCAGCTATGAATGAAGTAGCGTTTCTGATTCAGAAAGACAATTACAGGCTAACTTTGAATTGTATTTGAAAGATGCTGTTGATAGATTATACCGTGCATTTTCTCCTTAATATAAAAAATTGAAAGTGGAATTAATGGAAGCATACTGTTTGGCACTGATGTCATGTTACAGCTGATTGGTTTAATCATTGCACAGGAACTGACTAATAACAAATATTAGCTAGAAAAGGCTATAGATTTTTTCCATGTATTTGCATAAGATACTCTATAGAAGTTACTCTTAAGGGATTCCTTTTCCAGAAAGTCTCCCGATGTGGCTCAGATTTGGAGCTCAGCGTGTGCTGCAGCTGTGTCTGTGCCTCCTTGGCACCTGGAAACAGGCAGATGTGCACACAGGTCACACGCTGGCAAGAAGCAGTAGCATGAACGGCAGCAACCTTTTGTATGCCTATTAAACATCTGCAAGCTTGACAAGCTGGTCAGGTATTTACTTGCCAAGAAATCAGAAACATCATGGCTGTATTACGTGATCCTCATTCTCTAGAATCAAGTTCAGTGTTCTAGGCAGCACTTGGCCTAGGAGGGCGAGAACTGCAGCAGGCTTACACTCGTACACTGGTGAAGCAGAGTGAAAAATTACATTGCAGGCATTCATCTCCGTTAAGGTATGCTACAGGCAGAGCGAGTCCTTCATGCACTGAAATACGTAGAAAAATTTTAACTGCTTCCCACTGATCTCATGAAACAAAGCAAATTATTCTTTGTGAGGCTAGTTAATGATTAAGTTTTTCAGTCTAATGTATAGTAAACAGAATCTCTAAGCAAGAAATGTGCACGTTTTGGATGAATATTTCTAAAACTACTTTTCAGTACAAGTTTAAAAGCTGCTTTTTTTTTCTAAACCTATTTTCTTCCTCTCTTGTATCACCATTTGTAATGATGCAACTTCATGGACTAGAGAATTTAACACCCAAAAATTCCCATCAAATACTTTTCATTTTTAGTTTACTACAACCAGACATAATGATTGTTTTGCAAGTTTTCTGTGTTTTTTTTCGTATTATGCACAGATGCACATATGCAGAGGTACCTACATACATATTACTTAAAGATGTTCAGTTACTCAGCATTCCTTCCTGGTTCTGTAGCTCTTCTGGATATACAGCTTAGTCTTAATATTTCTTACTTAAACTAAAATGCATTAAAAAATAAATGAAAATTTAAGACTAGCTCTCTTAAAACAAAGAGTTCCTTTTCTTCCCTGATTGTCCCTTTAAATATAGAGAGTGTTAGATGCGAACAACTTAAATTATCATTGCTGTGACTTGAATACCTGATTTGAACTTTTGGGAAAACATCAGCAAAAAGTAAATCATTAAGAACAAAAGTTTGCAACCAAGTCAAATTCTTCTACAGCTTACTGAGTTTGTTTTTTTTTTTTAGTACAAGAGTTGTTGGTTTGTTTGGTTTGGGGTTTTTTTTAATTACTAGCAAATACAACATTTCGACAGCAACTTGGGTGCCAGTTAAAGGAGTAGCGCTGCCAGTCAGCAGGTTCCCTGATAACCCGTACAAATCCCAGTGCCAGAGAGAACACTGTCAGGGTTCTGCTGGGTCAGAGCAGAGAGAGAGGTTCACCAAGGTGATGTAACTCCCTCACAGCAGAGACAACTTGTCCAATATTTGAACCACAAGGTCTTTCAGTTCTGGGATGGTGTTTGTTCTGGATATATAACCTGTGGGTATGTGCATGAAGACAGGGCACATGTTACCTCTCACATAGTGACTCACAGGCTAAGTCATCAGCGTATTTGAATAGTCACAAGTGTTACAAGTAATATAACTATCTTTCAAAAATGTTTTTAGGAAAAATAGAGAAAAAAATCCTTCTGTACACTTATAGTACAGATGGCCTTCTTTGGAATTAAATCTAACTGTATGTCATCAGCAGGTTCTGTTAAAATGGCAAATCATGCACAACAGTCAATTTACGGACAATGGCTGGAGTGTTGAAATTCCCAAAGCATGTCTGTACTCTACACTTTGTTTACAATATTTCTCTGTCAGTTGAATGGCTTCTTTATGACTGAAAATAAGATGCAGTTTTATAATAAGTATTTAAGTGGTTTAGAAAATGCTTTTTACTTGAATTATTTGTAAATTTCTCTCAACAGATGGACGACCTCAGTGGGAGGTAGAAGGGAAAATAATTAGGGAAAAGTGTCAAGGGGTGAGAAACAATTTTTCTTACTTTAAAAAGCTTTCTGTTTTAAAATGAGAAACCAGAAGTCTTCATTGTTTTTCTGAAATTTAGACTTCATTTAGTAAAGTAGATCAGTGGCTGATTCAGACAACTGGAGACTTCTAAATTGGTGTAATACTATAAAGTAGCCATTAAGATGATGCTTTGAAGGAACTGGAAATAGCATGCTTGTTGTGAGAGCAATGAAAAAATAAAACTGAAGATCATTTTGCTAAGATGTCAAATAATTTCCAGTGCATTAAAATCTTTCTTAAAAGCTTAATGATCCAAAATGCAATTCTTTGACTGCTAGAGTCTTTTTATGCTTTGGCAGATAAAGCATCCTTCAGATTATGTGTCTAATTAAAAGCATTTCCTTTAGATCATTTGTCTTTAAAAGAAAAAGTTGCCAAATAAAAATTTGCTTATAGTACTTTTTACCATGTAATATGCATAAACTTGGAAGTTTGAAATATGCCATTTCAAAATATCAGTTTGCTTTATTTTTGCAAAAAAGTGTTTTAGGTTTTCTGTAATTAAGAGCAGTTTCATTTGCATTTTGACATGTAAGACTTTGTTTCAACTTTCATATAGGCAAACATCATACTTGAGGTTCCTCCATACCATAACAAAACCATTACAGCTGCAGTTCAGGTGCAGTTTTATCTCTGCAATGGCAAGCGGAAAAAAAGCCAGTCTCAACGCTTTACTTATACACCAGGTATTAAATAAAAAATGTAGAAGTTGTTTTATATTAATTTTTAGTATTTTGTTTTGTTTATATGTTTAAGTAGACATTTAAAACTAATTTAGGGAGTCTTCTACCTTTGACAGGTAGGTAAGACCAGCTTTGAATTGTTTGTAAAACAACTTACTTAAGCTTCTCTAGTTAAAAACTGAAATATAAATTAATAAGCTACAGTGCTAAAAATACAGCCAGGAATTTCTTCATTATATTTTTTAAAGAATAATTTATATTCTGCTTTTCTTTTGTGCCCTTTTAAGGATAGGGAGCATTCACAGAGTACAAAGGATGGCACTAGAGTCTTTAGTGTTGTTTGGAGGACTTGAAGTCAGGTATCTGAAGGAGTCTTTAAAGTTGAATATGGATATTAATATAAACTTCTTAAAGCTAATATGTATGCTGAGAAAACCAACTGCCATTAGTGTACACTATTTCAAATAATTTTACTAGCTTGTGCTCTAAAATTACCTACTTCATACTTACATGGGCAATTTCAGCAATGTAACCTAGGTATTTGGTACACTAAGTATACATTAATTGTGCTACCAGACTTAGGTGATATTTTTTTAACCACTCTTAAGAATATTGGCTCCTAAGATAGTTACAGGACACATCATAAACTATATTTCTGCTTGAAGAATCTATATTTAAGTAATTTAAATGGTGGAATGATGGAATGACACACTGCTTAAATAAGAAGCAAGTTCAATTACAACTGCAGCTGTTGTAGCACAAATGTTTCAAAATCCATTTTATCTATAAATATATTAAGTGTATTGTATAAAGTGGTAATTGAGCAGTTAAAAGTATCAGCATTTTTATTGTGTGTTTAAAATCAGTATCCGTTCATGAGCCTACTAGTAGCTTAAAAAAAAAAAAAATCTTGTAACTGAAAGCAGGTCAGTTTGTAACTGTCTGTATTATAATAACAATTGTTGCCATCACTGAAACTGGGGGATATGCTGAAAGAGCTGCTGTAATTAAAACAGTGCGCACTACTCAGTGTGTTGCCAAAGTTCAGCTGTCATCTTGATCAGAGTCTCGGGGACGCATGAAGCCAGTGAAAAATTTCATTCCCCTTTTCCTAGTGCCCAGTACTGGACTCTCAGCTGCCTGTTTTCAGTGTAGCCCGGCAGGAGCTCCCCTCACCCCCCACCTCCGATGAGCTGTGTCCTTCAGACCTACCAGACTTTGCCTGGCTGGGTTGAAAATGTCTTTTAAAAAGCTTACATTGTATAGGAGGGTATTTTGGAAGGCAAGTTAACTGCCTTTCAAGAAATGCTAGGAGAGTTCTGACCTTTAAGGGTTAATATAGCAGGCATAAAACCAAAAAAAAAAAAAAAAAAAAAAGGCAGAGCCAGAGAAGGGAAATTGGGGCAAGGACATTAACAATACTGTTGTGGCTGTTAAACAGCAATTAGTGTGTATTTATTCTACAAATGTGGTGGAATTACAATACAGTGTTTTATTTTTTCTAGTAATTATGAAGCAAGAGCACAGAGATGAGGTGGATTTGTCTGCAGTTCCATCTTTGGCCCTGCCTCACACAAGCAACATCCAGGGCCTGCATTCTATCCGAACTCAATTGCCTTCACCAGAGCAAGGGCCTCCTCATGACAATTTACTGTCTACATCACCCAGGAGCCTTGTGTGTCCAGTTCAACCACCGTACACAGCAATGGTGACCTCAGCAGTATCCCACCTGCCACATATGCAAGGCAGAAACCTTAGCCCAAGTGAAGAGTGTCATGTTTTGCCTCCTGCTGTGGTTCAGTCTTTTCAGGTAACATCAGCACCTCCTGTGAGGCCTTCTTACCAGCCTATGCAGTCAAACGATGTATACAATGGACAGTCTGGTCTTCCTGTGAACTCTGCCTCCAGCCAAGGATTTGATGCTATCTCATTTCAGCAAGACACGGCTGTACCTCATTTGATAAACCTTGGCTGCCAAGCACTCCCACCAATGCAGTTTCACCCTTCAAATCCAGGTTCTGTGTCAACGCCAGGTGCAGCAGGGCACCCGCTAGCACACCCAGCTCATTCAGGACAGTCATCTTCTCACCTGCCGTCGATGGGGTACCAGTGCCCAAGCACTGCGCAGGGCTCCATCCCTTCTGCCATCAGCCGGTCCCTCGGGCAGTCTTCTCCCCAGCTGCAGCAAGTCCCGTACCACTCTACAAATCCAGCATCCGCCTCATCCGCCTCCCCAACAACTCCCCACCCTTTGGTCCATTCGCCGCTGTCTGGACCCTCTTCGCCCCAGCTACAGCCTCTGCCTTACCAGTCTCCCAGCTCAGGA